GAGCTCATCACAGGGATGGTGAGAACCCCTCACAATGGGCACAGCGGGTGTACAGACCCGGGAGCTCAGCACAGGGATGGTGGGGAACCCCTCATAATGGGTCCAAGTCATCATGGCAGTGAGAGGAACCTTGATGAAAATGTTAGCTGCCTGTGTTGTAAAGAAGGTAGAGGAAATTAATCATTACTTTTTTTTTTTTAATTGCTGAGTAATCAGCTGTGGGAAATCTGTGGTTTTGGCACTGGTTCATTCTCTGACACTTTTGCTTGCAGCTGCATGGAGTTTGACCTCCTGACACTGCTCTGGGCGACTGCAAACCTTTCTGTGCCGTCACCACACCCTGAGTGAAGTTTTATTAGTTCTATGTTGCAATGTTCATCCCGACGCCGGCAGACTTGCTGCTTTTGTCTAGTTGGGGATCCTCGGCATATCCAAGAAATCTCTGCTAGCCGGTTCCCTTCACATCGTCCGACCTTCATATCATATGTCAGTTATAGGTGGAGTCCATCCTTGTCGTCTGTCTTGGATATTCAGCGGGTGTGTACAGACCTGGGAACCCAGCACAGGGATGGTGGGAACCCCTCATAATGGGCACAGCAGGGGTACAGACAAGGGAACTCGGCACAGGAATGGTGGGAACCCCTCATAATGGGCACAGTGGGTGTACAGACCCGGGAACTCAGCACAGGGATGGTGGGAACCCCTCGTAATGGGCACAGTAGGGTACAGACAAGGGAACTCGGCACAGGAATGGTGGGAAACCCCTCATAATGGGCACAACGGGTGTACAGACCCGGGAACTCAGCACAGGGATGGTGGGAACCCCTCGTAATGGGCACAGTAGGGGTACAGACAAGGGAACTCGGCACAGGAATGGTGGGAACCCCTCATAATGGGCACAACGGGTGTACAGACCCGGGAACTCAGCACAGGGATGGTGGGAACCCCTCGTAATGGGCACAGTAGGGGTACAGACAAGGGAACTCAGCACAGGAATGGTGGGAACCCCTCATAATGGGCACAATGGGTGTACAGACCCGGGAACTCAGCACAGGGATGGTGGGAACCCCTCATAATGGGCACGGCGGGTGTACAGACCTGGCAATTTTTGGTCTGATGGCTGCATGGCATTTCTAGGGAAGGGTTTCCTGATGACCACAGTGGACCATGCCCGGGCCCATGTGACAACTCCGGGGCGCAATTGAAATGGGGCAGAGCGTGGTCACCCTGTAACGGGAAGTGCCGCAAGCCTCGGAGCTCCGTTTGGCCATAGGGCTTCCCTATAGACATCCTGCGGCCAACCGATGGCTCAAGCCTTGCTGGGTGACAACGCCGTTGCTGATTGCAGCACATGGGCTCAGAGTTGTCAGCTTTCACCAGGAAGTGCTGTCATTGGCAGGATCTCCAGGGAATAAACTTTGCCATCGATTCCCAACAAATGATCTACAGGGGCCGTGTCAGATATATCGATTTTGGGTTTTCAACAAAAAAAAAAAAAGTTGCAGCAAAATGCAACAACTGCAGCACTCGTTGCAGTTGTTCCGTCTCGATCCGCGTGCAGTTTTTTCGGGGCTTGGATCAGGTTGAGGGCGCTGTGTGTGCGTTCCAGTTTGAGAATGTATCTGACGCCCCCATGGCACATGGCAGTGCCGTCCCAGCCGCGCTGGTTGCAAAACCTAGTCAGGTGTTCTGAGCAGCTGATTGGAGCAGAAAGGCAACTTCGGCTAAGCGCACCCCCCTCTCCAGTCTGCCGGCCCCTCCCCTCTGCACACACTCCAGTTCCCCAACCCTTCCCGGCTGTAGCGATCTCCGCGGCGCCCTCTCGAGTAATGTGATTGCCGGGTTACATAATGCAGATGTTTACTCTCCGTACATTGCTAAGCCGTGTCGTAATAATGTATCACGTCCCATCTGTAGCACATGTCGGAACATTGTGTTCAGAGGAAGTGGCTACCTAGGAGGTGTTACGTTTCAGCAGTTGTCAGGATTGGCCCAGAGGATCGAGATAATTGGGTATTCGATGGTGGCCATGCTTTGAGTACGCCTTCCAAATGGATGGGTTGGCCCAACTTAATGCACCCATCAGGGGTGCATCACTTTGTAGTAAAGAACTAAATATCGAGAGCTTAAAAAAAATCAGTCCGTTGACCGCTCCATGGTTTACCATTGTTAATCAATTCGATTAATTTTAGTGGTGTCGAATGATCGACTAAATGTGTCCAATAGGCACGTGGCCACCTAAAGTGTATCCGAACCAGCCTTGTTCAACAGGATTGTCAGGATTCAGAGACTCCTAAAATTAGCTCATTGGTGGTTTGCCCCTTAAGTTGGTGGTCGGTGGGAAGAATGTTCCTTTAGGTTGGAGGTCGGTGGGAAGAATGTTCCTTTAGGTTGGAGGTCGGTGGGAAGAATGTTCCTTTAGGTTGGAGGTCGGTGGGAAGAATGTTCCTTTTAGGTTGGAGGTCGGTGGGAAGAATGTTCCTTTAGGTTGGAGGTCGGTGGGAAGAATGTTCCTTTAGGTTGGAGGTCGGTGGGAAGAATGTTCCTTTAGGTTGGAGGTCGGTGGGAAGAATGTTCCTTTTAGGTTGGAGGTCGGTGGGAAGAATGTTCCTTTAGGTTGGAGGTCGGTGGGAAGAATGTTCCTTTAGGTTGGAGGCCGATGAGGAGATCCTTTTTAGGTTGCAGGTCAGTTGGAAGAATCTTCCCACCGACCTCCAACCTAAAGGAACATTCTTCCCGCCGACCTCCAACCTAAAGGAACATTCTTCCCGCCGACCTCCAACCTAAAGGAACATTCTTCCTGCCGACCTCCAACCTAAAGGAACATTTCTTCCCGCCGACCTCCAACCTAAAGGAACATTCTTCCCGCCGACCTCCAACCTAAAGGAACATTCTTCCCGCCGACCTCCAACCTAAAGGAACATTCTTCCCGCCGACCTCCAACCTAAATGAACATTCTTCCCGCCGACCTCCAACCTAAAGGAGCATTCTTCCCGCCGACCTCCAACCTAAAGGAACATTTCTTCCCGCCGACCTCCAACCTAAAGGAACATTTCTTCCCGCCGACCTCCAACCTAAAGGAACATTCTTCCTTTAGGTTGGAACTCGGTAAGAAGATCCCTTTAGGTTGCAGGTCGGTGGGAAGATCCTTTTTTTCTGTTGTAGGTCGGTGGGAAGAATGTTCCTTTAGGTTGCAGGTCGGTGGGAAGAATGTTCCTTTAGGTTGCAGGTCGGTGGGAAGAATGTTCCTTTAGGTTGCAGGTCGGTGGGAAGAATGTTCCTTTAGGTTGCAGGTCGGTGAGCAGATCGTTCCTTTAGGTTGCAGGTCGGTGAGCAGATCGTTCCTTTAGGTTGCAGGTCGGTGAGCAGATCGTTCCTTTAGGTTGCAGGTCGGTGAGCAGATCGTTCCTTTAGGTTGCAGGTCGGTGAGCAGATCGTTCCTTTAGGTTGCAGGTCGGTGAGCAGATCGTTCCTTTAGGTTGCAGGTCGGTGAGCAGATCGTTCCTTTAGGTTGCAGGTCGGTGAGCAGATCGTTCCTTTAGGTTGCAGGTCGGTGAGCAGATTGTTCCTTTTAGGTTGCAGGTCGGTGAGCAGATTGTTCCTTTTAGGTTGCAGGTCGGTGAGCAGATCGTTCCTTTTAGGTTGCAGGTCGGTGAGCAGATCGTTCCTTTTAGGTTGCAGGTCGGTGAGCAGATCGTTCCTTTTAGGTTGCAGGTCGGTGAGCAGATCGTTCCTTTTAGGTTGCAGGTCGGTGAGCAGATCGTTCCTTTTAGGTTGCAGGTCGGTGAGCAGATCGTTCCTTTAGGTTGCAGGTCGGTGAGCAGATCGTTCCTTTAGGTTGCAGGTCGGTGGGAAGAAAGTCCATCAAACAGTGGTGGTCAGTGTGTTCCCCTTACAGACAGCTGAATCGATCTGCCAAGTGGTGTTGGAACTCGAGTTATGGAAGCATCATCCGATGGGAGGCCCATCAGCCACAGCTCGAGGAACTTGAATGGGGGCCGTACCAATGGGATTACGAAAAATATCATTGGTGTCAATGAGAGCAATAGTGCCCCACCATTGGTGTCAGTGCCAGAATTAGTTCCCCATCTGACTCCAATGTACTATTCCTCCTACGGTCGCTGGAGATGGGTGACTAATTCTCCCACTGGGACTTTATTCCTTCCACTACCACCAATTGGAGGAATAGTGTTCCATCTTTGGCGTCGGTGCAAGGAATAATGCCTCAAGGGCCAGATAAAGGCAAGCAAAAGGGCCACAACTGGCCCACGTGCAAGGGTTTTGCCCAAAAGCAAAAATGTAATAAATTGCACCTTGACATTGGTTCTCGTCTTCGCCTACTCGACTCATGAATAGCATTCCTGTCTCTTCCCACTCTACTATAAAGTTGAAGAAAAAATATTTGTTCACTTTGACTTCAGTTGGCCAGAAGATGAATCATTCATTGCCGTAATCGTTTTCTATACCTGAATTCCCTTTGTCCGAACCCCGCAGCCTTGCGTTCTGTTTGCCGTTTTTGGTTCGTGCTTTTAGAACGCTCGCATTTCTAAGAAATCTTTTCAAAAGGTTTCAAAAGCATGTTAGCACAGGTTGACTACCAAAGATAAAAGATCAAGGTGTAGCCAAGCAGTAATTGTTGTACTCAGCTGAAAAAAGTCTTTGTTTTATGTCTACAGGCCACTGACTCACCCATGGAAGACACGGAGTCCTCGGATTTTCTGTCCTCATCAGACTCCCTCTTGTCTTCAGCCAGCACCACCACCTCAACCAACCAGGAGCATCCAAGCTATGTTGGTTTTGACGTCTTCCTCTCTGAAAGTTTGGCTGAGCCCACCAAAGGTGAGAAAGACTTTGAAGATGTAAGAATGATCCCGAACTCTCGGCTGACCAGTGCCAGCCACCCAGTCCTAATCCATCTAGAGAATGAATACCAAGCTAGGAGGACCTTTTGGCATCAACATACGGGACAGAATTGCAGGTATTCGGGAGAGGTTGAAGGATGGACATCCTATCCAAGTAGGAGTAAGCTTAGGAGTCGAGTATCGCCACTGATGAACAGAAAGCAAGAGAAGCAGCTGAAGGACTTGGTGTTCCCAGACGGGTCAAATTATGAGGCCCATCAAGGACTCAAAAGGCAGCGGATACAGGAGGCCAAGTCACTTGCCAACCGGTGGAAGGAGAGAGAAAAGAGAAGAACCTTCCAATATCTGATGGAGATCGTATCTTTGCTGAAAAGGTAAGTGGTGGCAAATGGTTAAATTCCAGTTAAGAATTTTTTTTTGTGTGTGCGCAATCCCATCTGGAAGATTTCTTTCCCACTTCCTGTCCCTGTGGCACTTATACAAAAAATAGGGAGTGAGGTTGTTTCTGGCACAGGAAGATACGAGTCCTCTTGGGAGAGATTTACCATCATTTCCTGTTCTGCCCCCTATTGAGGGTAGATGTAAACCCGATCACTAGACTTCCATGGAAGCTTTACCATTTTAATGTTTCTAGTCCTTTCCAATATTTCTAATCTGCAAAGATCGTTAAAATAATCAATGATGATCCTTCCATGAAGGTCCTTGTTCAGGCATTTCCAACTATAGGGTGACAACACTCTGCGCGTTTCCGAGTTGTTTTCCTGGGTAGTCACTTGGGGCATCCTAGAGCGAGTAGCCTAGTGATCTTGCCATGAAGGTCTTTGGTCAGGAACTTTATAGGGTGAAAACACTTGAGCCCCATTTCCATGTTGTGCTCTTGAGCAGTCACGAGTTTCTAATGTAGAGTGGCCTAGTGATCCTGCCACAGAGGTCTTAGGAGCTTCCTGTTATGGGGTGACAACCCTCTGCCCCGTTTCTGAATTGTGCTCCTGGGCAGTTGCAAAGGCTCCTAATGGAGAGTGGCCTAGTGATCCTGCTATGGAGGTCTTGGTCAGAAACTTCTATTGTAGGGTGACAACCCTCTGCAACTGCCCAGGAGCACAACTCTGAAACTGGGCAGAGGGTTGTCACCCTACAATAGAAGTTTCTGACCAAGACCTCCATAGCAGGATCACTAGGCCACTCTCCATCAGAAGCCTTTGCAACTGTCCAGGGCCACAACTCAAAAAAAGTGTCCAAATGTTGTCACCCTATAACTGGAAACACCTGAACAAGGATCTTCATGGCATGATAACTAGGCCTTTGCAACTGTCCAGGAGCACAACTCTGAAAACTGGGCAAAGGCCTAGTTATCATGCCATGAAGATCCTTGTTCAGGTGTTTCCAGTTATAGGGTGACAACACTTGGACACTTTTTTTGAATTGTGCCCCTGGGCAGTAGCAAAGGCTTCTGATGGAGAGTGGCCTAGTGATCCTGCTATGGAGATCTTGGTCAGAAAACGTCTATTGTAGGGTGACAACCCTCTGCCTAGTTTCAGAGTTGTGCTCCTGGGCAGTTGCAAAGGCCTACTTATCATGCCATGAAGATCCTTGTTCAGGTGTTTCCAGTTACAGGGTGACAACACTTGGACACTTTTTTGAATTGTGCCCCTGGGCAGTAGCAAAGGCTTCTGATGGAGAGAGGCCTAGCGATCCTACTCTGGAGGTCCTTGGTCAATAACTTCCTGTTATGGTGTGACAACACTCGGCCAATGTTTCCCAGTTGTGCGCCTGCGCTGTCGCATGGGCTTCCAACGGAGACTACAAGTGGCCATTTCATAACTTATTTGTCCCCTCGTACATGGGCACAGGTGGTTGAGATATCTCAGCTGCCTGTCAAAACCTAGCATTGGCCACTGGACATCCCACTGTGGATGGTGAATCAGCAGCTGTTCCCATATGAAAGGAGCTTTACCCAGGCATGGTCCACTGTTGTCACCATCGCAACCTTGAGAAATGTCATTCAGCTCTTTCTGACGTGCATGTAAACAAGAAGTGCCTGCAAAGAGGTTGAATGAGATCAGCAACACTAAGATGCAACGAAGGGTAACAGTATTTCTTTTTTTTTTATTCTTCTTAAATGGCAGTTGTGTACGAGGAACAATGCTTTAACAAACCGTCATTCAGTTGGGATCTAGGAAACAGGTCAGCAGCTGACACATCTTGGGGTGGGCCTCTGAGCTGGAAAGTCAGCTTAGGGCAACATCAGTGAAGCTCTGTAAGGGGAACGTGCCTAATTCTATTTGAAGAATGAAATTGTGACATGGGTCCCATCACAACAGCTTATGTATAATTGGCTCTCGGTGGTGGGAGTGAGTCTCCGCTGGTAATGCGGTTCACACTGTGGGCAGTATTAGTCAAGGATCTGATGCCGCCTTGGCCTCAGACCTGTGTATCCGACACGAGTATGAAGCTGTCATGTACAGCTGGATTGTGCTCTATCCTCTCGGCATTACATTAATCCTGCAGGCTGATACAGCCGCCCTGGCCTGGTAAGGGAGTTAGGACTTGCGTCGTGATCCTCCTGAAATTTTCCATTTATGCAGCAGAGGAATTGCGCACAGCAAGCTGCCAACTTTTTAAAAGGTCGTTATATTAATACTTTAAAGAGGACTGGTCACCTACCTGGAAAAAAGGAGACCTGCGGCCCGGTACAGAAACCTTTTTTTGTTTTAGCATTTCCAACCAAAACTGAGCGACTTTTTTTATATTGCTGAAGAAATAGTTGGAACCTCGGCTTTTTATGCTGATAATGGTTCCACACCACGATCCATGCTCTGGGCGTTGCTGCAGAAACTGTGGATGACTTACGAGGTGACACTATACCATGTACAGTGTATATTCAGTCCTGTCCCTATACAGTGTATCTTCCCTTCAGTCCATATAGCGTCAATGTCCAGTCCCTATACTTTGAATTTTCAATCTAGACCCTGAACATTGACTCCTCCATCTCAGTCAAGTCCCTATACATTGAATCTTCTGTCCAGTCCACATAGCTTTGACCTGGACCCTATACATTGAATCCTCCATCCAGTCCATATAGCTTTAGTCCCTGAGCGTTGCGCCTTCAGTGGCGGCCCTAGAGCGTTGCGCCTTCAGTGGCGGCCCTAGAGCGTTGCGCCTTCAGTGGCGGCCCTAGAGCGTTGCGCCTTCAGTGGCGGCCCTAGAGCTTTAATCCAGTCCTTATACATTGGATCCTCAGTTGAGGCCCGGCCCTTTTATTTTATAGCGGATCCTCGGTTGAGGCCCGGCCCTTTTATTTTATAGCGGATCCTCGGTTGAGGCCCGGCCCCTTTTTATAGCGGATCCTCGGTTGAGGCCCGTACATATGAGTTGTATTTTCAATCCCTTCCAATAGACATTGCTTCCGATTTTGAAGCATGGGTTGAGTTTTGGTCTCTAAAATGGATTGGTTTTCTTGTGTAGCCTTCCACATGGAATACATTTTGTATCTGGACTATCACCTCATAGCGTGACTTTTTTATTTCAGATCCATTTATTTGCCTCACAAGCCAAGGTTTGGTGTGTAGAAGCCACCAGCACTGAATCCAGACACTGTATAAACACCATTGCAATACTACTGGGTAGGAACACTGGTAGGACCATTGCAGGTTCTATCATTTCTTCTCCGTTCTCCCAGATCTTTCATGGGGTGTGTCACACTGGTGGGACTTCCCTTTGCTTTCTGTCCCAGAGGCACAATAGGAAGTACATGACAATATTTCCAGAGTTAGGGGGACCTTTCTGCTTTGACAGCTGACACCGGAACAGGTGCGCCCATTGGAAGATTTCCCCTCCTCTTCTGTTCTGGTGACATCCATAAAAGTTTGGATTTCTCATCACTTTCTGAAGAGGGTGACCCTCCCTGACTGAGACAGAGGTTCTAACCTTTCTGTGCCCCATCAAGAACTAAAAATAAAAGGTTTTGGCTACAGATGTTCGTTCTCACATTGACAATTTAAAAGCTATTGTGTGGTGTGTCGGAGACAAAGAAAGAAACAACGTATTGATACAAAGATATGGATCTTCCAGGAGATCTCACAATCCTTCTGGGTCACAACTTTTGTCAAGGCCACCCAGAACAGACGCAAGGAGTTTGGTTACAAAGAGTTGCTTTTGTTTAGTTTCCACCAAGCCAATCTCTTGCCCTTTTTTTAGGGGTTTTTTCTAACCTCAATGGGGGACACCAAAGTCTCCTTTTTTTCCAGCAGAATATAAATGTTTTTGTCTCTTCAGAGGTTCAGATAAGCAGATTTAGTTGAATTGAAAGTGAACTCCTGTATGACCTGTTACTTTGATGGCCTAAACCCGTGTTGGTCACACCATCCTCCTTTGCACTACCGCTGCTTGTCCAGTGGAACCAAATGGGCAAAGTACAGGTTCATTTATGGGTTAATTTAAACCTGTGCTCAGCCCTTTCCCAGGTTTTCGATAAAGAATTTGTCTATCGGTAAGAGTATCTGCCTAAAGAATCCATTCAAGTCACACTACATGGCCAAGTGTCTGATGGCCATCCCATTGCAAAACCATGGATGCCAAGATAGAGTTGGCCTCCTTTTTCATCTAGAACACCTCCACTCTTCTGGTAAGATGATTTTGGAATGTGTCTACATTTGTGAGGTTAGGTACCTGGATGTTGGATGAGAAGACCTGGCTCACCATCCAGTGTTCCAAATAATCCTAAAGGTGCTCAGTAGTATTGAGGTCAGGTTTCCATGTTGGACACTCAGGTTCCTCCTCACCAAACTGGTCAAACCATGTCTTTTATGGAGCTGGCCACCAATTATGGACTAAGGGACTAGTGCTTGGTGAGATGATCTGGCTGACCATCCTTGTTCCAATTCATCCAAAGGGTGTTCAGTAGGGTTGAGGTCAGGTCTCCATGTAGAACACTTGGGTTCCTCCTAACCAAACTGGTCAAACCATGTGTTTATGGAGCTGGCCACCAATTATGGAGTCGGGTACTAATGTTGGATGAGATGATTTGGCTCACCATCGGTGTTCCAGTTCATACTGAGGGTGTTCAGAAGGGTTGAGGTCAGGGGCTCGGTGTAGGACACTCAAGTTTCTCCTCACCAAACTGGTCGAACTATGGAGCTGGAGTTGTACACAGTCGTGATGAACATATTGAGCCTTCCCCAATTGTTACCACTAGGTTGGAAGCGCACAATTGTCTCCTTTGCTGGAACTACATGAAATTTGGAGGGGACCCACAAACTTTTTACCACAATTGTCAGCTTGGTGACCTGACTCTTGAAATTGGACAGTATGGGTTTAGCTTTCTTGCAATGGGAGATGAGCATACATACGTAAAATTCTGTGTCTACTAATATATACTTTATATAAAAAAAAATTGTAAGAAGATAATCGTAGTGTATTTGATGAAAATCTACAAAATTGGCATGGACTGTTTGATGTTGACCTGTATCTTTTTTTTCCTTTCAGTGCCGGGAACTCCAGGGCTTTATCCAACCTCTGACAGAACTTCTAAATGGATTAAAAAGGGGCAGATATGACCGAGGTAAATATACGATAAGGGGCAACTGTACTGGTTTGGAGTCTTGTTTTATCATTTGTTTTGTTACCTGACTATTACTCTAGCTTCAATTTTTTTGTTTTTTTATTTACAAGTACATATTTATTGCATGGAAAAGGATTCCAGAGCACCATTAGGAGCGTTGCCTCTGTGAACAGTAGATCGCAGGTGCAATGCCAGGCTCCTACAGACTGCTGCATCAGTAACTTGTTACTCCCTGGCTACGAATGTAACATGTTATAAAAGGTGAACTGATCCTTTGTAACAGAATCGTAATTCAAAGCAGACATTTCATCAAAGGTCAGCTTCTGTTTTCGTAAAGTTATCCTTAAAATCAACCCCCTTCAGTCTAAGAAGCATTCTTCCCACTGACCCCCAATGTCCCATTCCTCCCGTTGGCCACCAACGTGCGAAACATTCCTCCCGTTGGCCACCAACGTGCGGGGAGCCTTCCTCCCGTTGGCCACCAACGTGCGGGGAGCCTTCCTCCCGTTGGCCACCAACGTGCGGGGAGCCTTCCTCCCGTTGGCCACCAACGTGCGGGGAGCCTTCCTCCCGTTGGCCACCAACGTGCGGGGAGCCTTCCTCCCGTTGGCCACCAACGTGCGGGGAGCCTTCCTCCCGTTGGCCACCAACGTGCGGGGAGCCTTCCTCCCGTTGGCCACCAACGTGCGGGGAGCCTTCCTCCCGTTGGCCACCAACGTGCGGGGAGCCTTCCTCCCGTTGGCCACCAACGTGCGGGGAGCCTTCCTCCCGTTGGCCACCAACGTGCGGGGAGCCTTCCTCCCGTTGGCCACCAACGTGCGGGGAGCCTTCCTCCCGTTGGCCACCAACGTGCGGGGAGCCTTCCTCCCGTTGGCCACCAACGTGCGGGGAGCCTTCCTCCCGTTGGCCACCAACGTGCGGGGAGCCTTCCTCCCGTTGGCCACCAACGTGCGGGGAGCCTTCCTCCCGTTGGCCACCAACGTGCGGGGAGCCTTCCTCCCGTTGGCCACCAACGTGCGGGGAGCCTTCCTCCCGTTGGCCACCAACGTGCGGGGAGCCTTCCTCCCGTTGGCAAACGAGCTCATTTTAGGGGTCCCTAAAACCTGAAAACTATTTCAAGGGTTCCTCTGGGGTTAAAAAGTTTTGAAAACAGGTACACTCAAGGTGGCCACATACATATTGGATACAATCATTGTAATCACTGACCACCAACCTAAGGAACATTCTGACCACCAATGTAAGGGACATTCTCATTGCCCCCCAATAAATTGTTTTAGCAGGGGTTCTCCCAGCCTTGGTTCAAGGTTCCTTGGGAGTAAGAAGGCTGAGAGAGGCTCTTGTAAGTCCTAGCCAACTGGCTGATTGGTGTGTCTGTTGCCTGTAGGGCCCTGGTGGTGGTTGATCTCTACCAGCTTCACCTGTTCCCAGTCTTGTGTTGTCTTCTGTGGCCAATCCCCAGCCAGCAATGTATCCTGTCCTCACTCTCTGACTCTCATTTCCTCTGTCAGGTGTGCAGTCTCTGACAATCCTCTGGAGCGCTATACTTCCTGAACATTGTGTGGCTCTTGGGTGATGTCAGGGGCCACATTTGAGGCTCTTTATTAGTTGACAGCCACTGCTGTAGGGTATTTACTTTGCCCAGCCTGGCCAGTTGCAGTTGTCTCCTCCTTTTTTTGAATCCTTTTTAAATTGGCGGAAGATTTCCTTCCGTTGACCAGGAATTACCTCCACATCCCTGCGGCAGGATTGGGTGGTGGTGGAGTTCCGGTAGATCCTTGTTTCTGGTGGCGGTAGGGTGCTTTGCATTGTAAATCGGTTACATAACTGGAACGAGGAGCCTTCCTTCACATGGCTCTGCAGGAGACCGACCCCCTCCTCCTTCTCCTCCGGGGCTTAAAGGGGAAGTACCCTCATTTTAATTGTCTCCAATCCATAGAGGGAAAGGAAGTGGATTAACCCCTTCCTGACCAGAGCGGATTAAACCTAGCGGCAGACAAAAAATGCATTAAGTTGCAGCAAATTGTAGCCCGCCTTATTTCCTGTGTGGAGGACGTTCGGCATCATCTAGCCCTTTCTGCCCCAGCCTGACTGTCCCTCTGGCCCATCCGCAAAAGATGGAGTTGGCCTTTAACTTTAGTGGATTTTTACTGAAATCTTGTGCTTGATAGACCTCTGTGCTAATATGTGACAAACCGGGGAGGTGCATTTTTTGGCATAGAAGTCAACGGGGGGGGGGGGTGCGGTTTTGGCATGGTCATCAACGGGGGGGTGTTTTTTTGGCATAGTCGTCGACGGAGGGTGCGTTTTTTTTTGGCATAGTCATCAACGGGGGGTGCGGTTTTTGGCAAAGAAGTCGATGGGGGGTGCGGTTTTTTGGCATAGTCATCAACGGGGGGTGCAGTTTTTGGCAAAGAAGTCGACGGGGGGTGCGGTTTTTGGCATAGTCATCAACGGGGGGTGCAGTTTTTGGCAAAGAAGTCGACGGGGGGTGCGGTTTTTTGGCATAGTCATCAACGGGGGTGCGGTTTTTGGCATAGTCATCAACGGGGGGTGCGGTTTTTGGCAAAAGAAGTCGACGGGGGGTGCGGTTTTTGGCATAGTCATCAACTAGGGGTGCGTTTTTTCAGAAGTCGACGGGGGGTGCGTTTTTGGGCATAGTCGTCAACGGGGGGGGGGGTTGATATAGAAGTCAATGGGGGGAGTGCATTTTTGTGGCATAGTCATCAATGGGGGTTGTGTTTTTGGCACAGAAGTCAACGGGGGGGGGGGGGGTGCGGTTTTTTTTTTTTTTGGCAAAGAAGTCCACGGGAGGTGCGGTTTTTTTTTTTTTTTTTTTTTTTTTGGCATAGTCTTCGACGGGGGGTGCGTTTCTTGGCATAGAAAAAGTCAACGGGGGGTGCGTTTTTTTTTTTTTTTTTTTTTTTTTTGTTTGTGTGGGGGGGTTTTCATAGAAGTCAATGGGCAGTGTGAACCCACGTGCCAGGGCGTAGTTGCTAGTTGCCATGGCACCCGGGATTTGTCCATCCCTGCTGAATATCAGTATATCGTGTTTTGGGGGGTTTTAAGTAATCCTGATTTTTTTTTTTTTTTTTTTTTTTTTTTTTTTTTTTTTCCCCCCCTCCCTGCAAAAATGGCAGTGAAAGGGTTAAAGGTCTGTTTTTACTGGTGTTGTAGCCATACCTTCTACCCTAAAGTATTTATAAGGCCCCGAGACAAGACGTCACCACGTGTGCCTAGGGCAGTGTGGACTTGGCCCTGAGTCTTGTCATCTTACATATCTGCATTTGCATTCTTCTCACGTGACTTACCGTTACGCCGTCGCACCTTTACCTTTTTAACTTTCTCCCTCGCCATCTTGCACCCCTTGGTCACGTCTCCCTTCAGTGTGTGGGGAAATGTCAATAGCCCACATTCCTCCCGTCGTTTGTCACCAGTACCGTGCTATTATCTCATTCCCTGGAACAGGCTGCTCCGCGATTCACCTCCGAGCAGGGGCGCCACAGGGGTGCTTTTGAAAGGCTTGCATTACAAAGGGATGACAGTTCAAAGTAAATAAGGGCACCGGCAAAAAATAAAAAAAATATGGTCGATTTAGTGAGCGCAAACGTGCGGAGAGCGCATGTTCTCGTGTCAAAATAAATCACCGAATTACGCCCGGTTCGGCTCGGACAAAGTAGATCTAATCCAATCGCTAAAATCTTTTGTGGCAACATAAGATTTTTTAAATTTGCATCATTAAAATAATCCCTGGTGATCCTGCCATTTGAAGTCCTTGTTCAGGCACTTCCTCTTATAGGGTGACAACGCTCTGTCCTGGCCTTCGGATTGCGCTCCTGCGTTGTCACCCTGGCCTGTGATGGAGGCTACAATACTCCTCATCCAGGAATGGTCCGCTGTTGTCTTGCCCTGAAAAATGCCATGTGGACAGGAAGTGGCTGAAAAGGGGCTGCAGGTGATCAGCAGCACTGAGATACAGCAAAGGAAACAATTGTTTTATATACCCGCTTCCTACCTGGTGTCCCTTTTTTTTTTTTTATTATGGCCTAATGGGGGCAGGACTGATTTCCTGATCACGTGACCTCTGTGATTGGCTGTCACTGCAGTCATATGATTGGGAGCCTGACCGTCGGCAGAACTGTGTGACAGCCAGGAGCTCACTGTGGTTGAGCAACAAATAGACGGAATATCAGAGGTATGAGCTTTAAGCAGGCCATAGACCGGCCGTTTTTAAAAAAAAACTAAAAAAAAAAAAAAATCAGTCGTTCGATAGGCCGACGTTACCACCAACAGTAAAAAAAAAATCGGCCAATTTTCGTCCCGTCTACAGCCGGAATTTAATTACTTCTGTCCCTGCAGAGAGCCCCGCTATTATATTTGACATGAAAAAGTCTTGCGGTTGCAACATTGTATCTATTTGTATTCATTTCTGATACAGATGTTTTTATTTGGATACAAATAGATACATTGTTGCAACCGCAATACGTTTTCATGTCAAATATTATAGCGGACTGGAATTCTTCCTCTTCTTTTTCTTCCTGCAGGCCACGGCTCATGTGCAGATTTTTTTATTGGTAAAAA